TTTACCCAGATAACTACTGGGTGCTTTATGATTAATTACATTGAAATATATTCTTGCGATCTTCAGACTTTAGCCAACCGTTGCACAGTTTCGTTTCTGATGATTATTTAGGGTGTTCTTTTCTATTTGGGTGTACTGGGATGACTTTTTGGATGAAATGTGTGATTCCTGAAAAAGAAGACAGACATTAAATACTAGAAATTTTGTATTAAGCCTTGCAAATTATAACACAGCTTGCATTTCTACTTTGCCCTGTAGCTGTTCCCTTTCAAACTCTAAGTTTTATGGGATTTTTTTTGGTGAGTTTTCTAGATAATTCTTTAATGTAAATAACACTACTGCATGAAGGACCAGGTGGCTCTATGGAGTCATTTAGAAAATGGATGCAAAGGATGTTTTATTCCTGTATTCATCAACTAAGTGATAATCATGAGAACATGGCAGCCAGTACACCTGGGTTTAATCTCAGATTCGCAAACTGTTTAATGTGCTCAGTGGTAAGACCCTAAATTAGCTGTTTTGATAGAACAGCCTGTTGGAAGATGAGAGGATTGGGCTGTTTGGGGGAGTCTTCTTCTAAGGGCTTTTCCCTCTCTTCTTTGCTTGTAAACCTTCTCGAAGGAGAGTCTGCGTGTGCCTTTTGTTTGTATTGATTCAGCACCTTGTCATACAGACATGAAAGAAAACCTTTCGATAAATGCTGGTTGCTGCTGGTGCTGGCGTGGTATCAGCCCACAAAGCGTGACAGAAGTGGCACAGGAGATGGAAGTGTAAACTGAACTCTTCCTTTTTTTCTGATGCTAGTGATAAATCCTCAGCAGGTAGTGTAATCTTTCATACCTGCCAAAATATGCTGAAAACACATTTCACAATCTTCTAAAAATTCCCTGATTTCCATGTAAAAGCTTTTCCTAATCCTTTGTGAGTTGCACGGGGAAAAATTGAAAATAATGGTGACAATTTCAAACTTTTAACAAGAAGTTAATGAAGGCAAAGGCTCTGTGAGTCCAGCTTGTGTCCGTGTGACAAACCAGGTGGGATGTAGTGAGGTAACCAGGATCCTGCCTGTCTTTTTGGACTTATGTCAAGTATTTGTGCGGTTGCTTTGGGGCAAATACAAGAGCTATGGATTATAATTTAAAATGTATGAAGAGTCACAGTGAAAAAAATGAGTCCAAATCTATTCTATTCTTAAATAATATGCATTTTTTATTTAAGTAAGCACTGCTGGACTAGGACCTGTATCCTTGGAGATGAAGCAAGTGCTTTCAAGGAGATGTTACTCTGCCATTCACATCATACTTTGCTCTGCAGTGATGTGGCACAGAAATTGCTACTTCCATTTTGTTTCTGTAGTTTGTAGGAACCACAATATACTCATTATTTTGGAATTTGGGGGCGGGAGAGGAAGGCAGATGCTCATCTCTGCTACTATATGTGCTGCAGTGTTTGCATTTCCGCTGTCATCTGGTCAGGTCCAGGTTTCTTTTGTTGATTACATAAAGTTAGGTCAGTGGCTTCACAACAAAGTGTTGTCATGTATAATTAGTCTTGTATTTTTCTGAATTTTAGAGAGATAATTGCCTTTCCAAGACTTAAGTGGAAACAGATAGATCTGTCTCTTAGACCCTTTCTGATTTCAGTGTAAACACGCACATGTTGCCAAGCATAACGCAGATTGAAAGTAAGCAAGATCTGTGCTGTGACCTGGGATGAGAAGCCCAGCAGGAGAACGTTTCTGGCACAGTGGCTTTAGTATAATGCCTTTTACAGCACTGATTGGTCACAGCTGCCACGGGAGCTTTTGTGACCCGATTTTGGTAATACCTAGAACCCTTCAGAGCAGTCTCAAACCTGTTCTAACTTATATTGGTGGAATGACTTGGCACACAGAGTCTACAGAGCAAAACAGTTGCCAAAAACTCTGCTGCCTTCAAATATGCCTCTCTACTGAGAGGAGCTATGTGCTTCTGGAATCCAGCCAAAAATCAGGGCTAAGAGCATCTAATCAATGCAATGGCTTTTACCACACCCCTTGGCTAAAGAAGGAGAACACAGAGTTAATATAGCTATTTTTATTGGCTCAGCCTCAGAAACAGAGAGATTAAATGAAATGAATACTAACTTTTAAACACCGTCCAGTCTCTGAGGTTTGGCTTTGGATTTCAGAAGAATGCTCATCTCTTTCCTGCACTTTTCCCTGGTGCGGGGTTTTCCTACTGGTAAGTGAACAACTTAATTCGGTTTGACCCCTGCAGAAATTTTAGTTGAGATATTAAGCAGACATAGTCATCCTCTCGAAAAGTTAAAATAACTTCATTTGGTTTGCATATCTAAAAGAAAAACAGCCATTTCACTTCTCATAAAGACATTAAGTGATGTTTCTCTTGGATTCCTGTCTGCTTAGGAGGGTTGCTCACAGTGTGTTTTCCAAGCAGGTTTGAAACAGTAGGGATGAGAAAGGCTTTTGAGCTGTGTGTGCTTTTGTCCATAAGAACTATAATAATAATAAATATCTGATCCTGAAATCTTTGCGCGTACAAGTAGTTATTGTTTACATGAGCAAAGCTACTGATTTTAAGGATTTATTTGATAAAGAGTTGCTCCTGTCAATGAATTCTGCCAGCTGCAAGCCCTTGAAGACTATATGCTACATGCACAGCTGATGTGAGATATTTTAGAGTCTGGACAAGGACCCAAGAGGATGACAAATGATGTTCAGAAAATGAAGGAGTTCTTTGAGAGTCCCACCGCTTTTGTTTTCCCCACTCCTAAACACTCTCAGCAAAGAAACTATTTTACCTCAGTCTCTATTAATGGCTCTAAGACATCTCCAAACTCTCCAGCATGGCTGTGGGGACTCTGTACCACAAGCAGGGACATCAGCAGATGTCCTGCTCAAACCATCCCTGGCTGTTTGTTTTCCCTCCAGACTGCTACATTTCTGTTTTCCCCTGAAGGCATCTGTTCATACTCATTTTGGAGTCTGGCTTCTACCTCTGCCTCTGATGGCTGACAACACAGCATGGCTTGTTACCTTGAACACCAGTCTTGCCTCACATCTATGTCATTTTCTACATCCTACTGCCAGGATATTTAAGGACAGAAGTTGCTCAGTATTTAATGGCAAAGTATTGTTAGGTTTTTCAGCTCTGTAGACAAATCTAGTCTTCCAATGCATTATCTTTAAGGAATTTTAGCAGATTTAGAACTTTACTTAAGCTGGAATAAAATCCAAGGCCACATGGATCAGCCAAGTCTACAACATCAGCTTTCTAAGATTCAAGAGCTCTTTGATATGATTGGATGTAGGTGAGATAATGGTAATTTATTTGACATCATCTGAAGCAGGTGGATCTAAAAAGAACACGTGTCCTAAAATAAACACCAGCTTTCAGTGAATTCTTTTGTGTTCCTAGTCCTTCCCTGATATCAATACACCAGACACACACTTTGCTAGAGGTGTCTTTATGTATCTGAAGGCCTAAAAGGAGATGCGATTTGGGGATGTAACCTGATGACGACCTTGTAATGAACGGAGTGAATTGCTCAGGAGAAGAAGGGAATCACATCAATCTTGCATCAGTCTCTGCATTTCATAGGTAGAAATCCAGTTCTTTCACCTCTATACTCTGGTGGTAGCTTTTTTTTAGGGAGGTTCATGCAGTAGTGTAAGGATTTAGTGTCTGGATTCAAATCATAACAGTGAAGTTTGGTTTTAATATCTACAGGATGATGTGCCTTGTGTTCACCTGCCTCTCTACTGAGCCCACAACAGATGTAAGCGTGTTATAGACGCCAGTATGTAGGCTTGCCCTCGAGAGTGATGGGTAGTCATGCTTACTTGTCTGTGATGCTAGCGATGTGCTTAGGATGGCCACTGCTGAGGCTGGCAGCACTATCCAGGACATTTCGTGGTTTCTTGGCATAAGTGAAAAAAAAAAAAATAGTTGTGCAATAACAGAGGTACCTAGGAAAAATAATTTTGATCAGACAAACTTGATTGACAAAGCAAGTATTCAAGAAGTTCCTCCTTTGTTCTCTGAGACAGGGTGCTTTGTGAGAGCTGCCGGAGAGCAAGTGGCTTGAAGATTTAAGTAGAAGTTAAATGAAATTCATATTAGAAGACTTATTTATTTATTTATTCAGTAGCTTGGAGTAACAGGACAGAATTGTGAAAGTGAGGGCCTGTATAAATGTGTCTAAAGTAATTCACATTTAGACCTTTCACACCAGTGCCCTCACTCTTGTGTTGCTCAGCACTGCTCACCTTGGGCAACCGCAGATCAGTGTTACGGGTTGTATTGTCACTAGCAGACAATCACCAACTCTTAAATCGCTGACTTTGACTCTGGTGTTATTATTTACTATTTAGAAAATAAGTAACAAACTCTCCCTTCTGAGATGACCTACCATGCAAGCTGACAAGCTCCTCCCCAAGGCCCAAATAGTGCAAAGTCATATGAAAATACATCTTAGCAGGTCAAACAAACCTGAGGTCAGCTTTACATCTTAAGTCAATGTGGTTTTATTTGCTGACTGACAGGGGTCTTACAACCTGCTCTGAGATGACCCAGCATCACTCCCTGTTTTATTTATGTGGGAATAAAGAAAAAAAAATGCTTTATACCCTTTTTATGTCTAGTTATAATGACAGAATGTCTCAGCTGACCAAGGTATCCTCATTAATGATTGTTCTATATTTAGCCCTTGCAGAGACCATGTGCCCCCAGTTTAATCAAAGACCTGGTAGTCATGGTAACAACACAGAGCATCTGGATGTATACGATTTGCCAAACACTGTAATAAAGTGCAAGATGAAAAGAACACACAACAGCGCTAGGTGAATTAATGTATTGTTCTTTTTTAGTACAGATTTTGAAGTGTTTGCAACAGCTCCCTAGCCATAACTGCTAGATTGTTTTTGCAGAAGAGCCCTATTAACACAGGTGACAAATACTAATCTCTTTTTTGTTTTGTTTCTTAATTTCGTTTTACAGGTGTATCAGCATTCATATACGGCATATTATGTCCTCAGCAAAATACCTCATGGGTAAGCAATCTTTCCATGTCTTCATTTTAAAACTCAGCCATTAAGAATTCTGCAAAAGAATGTGTATCGTGACAAATGGTTTCCTGTGACAGCCCTTTGCAGTGGTCTGGCATTCAGCTGCAGCATCCACTGAGCTATGTGTTGTACAAAAGATGACATAGTCTGGAAAAAGAAGTACTCAGCTTCTCCGGAGAGTCAGACTACATGAATTTCATATTCCGGTTTTCAAGTTTTTGGCTAGAATATAGATGTGTTGGCGTCTGGCTGAGAGACATGGTTGGCCACTCACCAGAGCACTGTCAGAGGATCTATCCAGGGATGTTTAGTCCCTTAAATTTGATCAGCATTGAGGTATCGCCTTTCGGTTTTGGGTCTCTTGACAGATTCGCTTGATACAAATGCTCTCTCTAGCATCCCATCTGAAGGCAGATAGACCAGACGTCTGTTCCCAGAGTCCTGATGCTGCTGAGATATATGCACTCACAATTACACTGAAGGTACAAGCCTTCAGGTTTATAGTTCAACTTTTCAGAGTGTGTGAGGCAAGTGCAGACAAGCCAGAATGCCACATAGGCTTTACACAGCATTTCTAAACTTAATGAGAGCACATTGCTTTACCTAAAGCACCTAGCATGAAAGGTTATCATTACAAGTAATGAACTTCCATCACACAATGCCTGTTCATTTAGTTCCCCCTGTCCACTGCAAGTCCTGAGGTAGGCTCAGTGTTTAACATAGGCATCAATTAGTTTGAGAGGATATTTCTTTAGCTTTGACTAGTTGCAGTTTTTTAAATCCCCCTTTATCAGCTTTGTCTTTGTGTTGCTGCAGGTCACCTGTGGCTCTGACTCCACCACCCTGAAGCTCAACTCGCCTGTCTTGTTTCTCTAGAGTTTAGCCCATCATTTCTACCACTTTTCCCTGAAAAGATACCTTTTTTATTATGTACTTTAAGGACTGGCCCAACTGGTCAGGAATGGGACACCACCATACCAATAAGGCACACGTAGGCATATGATGATACATACATAGCACCAATGGAAATGCCAAAGTTACACAGCAAAATTCCTCAAACTGTTGTCAGTAAATACAAAGCTAAAAGCCAGGAAGCTGATGCCAGGTTGTTTGCTTTAAGTATCCTATTGGTGACAGCTGTGCGGGAATGGTAAAAAGAGACAATATAGTTGTGCTCTGCCATTTCTGTAGAACGTGGCATGTGCCTCTGGTTAGAAAACATATAAATTCAGTATTTGCTATGCTTCTTCACTAAGTTGTCCTTTCTTTACATTATGGCTAAACAGGTAGTAGATGTTTTGGATCCTTACGATAGCTGGCAAAACCTGCAAAGTTTAAAAAAATCTGCCTAGTTTGTACACAGGGTGATCATAGGATCATCAGATAACTGAGGCTGGAAATTCTCTTCCAAGGTCCAACCTCCTGCTCAAAGCAAGTTACTCAGAGCTTTATCCAGCTGTGTTTTGAAAATCTGCAGGAGTGGGGCCTGCACAGCCTCGCTGGGCAACCTGTCCTGCTGCCTGACCGTCCTCACGGAGAGAAAGCTTCTCCTTATACCCAGTCTGAACCTCCCCTCTCGATTTATTCCACTCTCTCTCATCCATACCACCGTATTAAATGGATTACTGTGTCTCTGACTTAGGAAAACCCCGGGGCAGATCCTAAAGTCCTGTTTTCCACAGAAAACAGCAAAAAAACCCCAAACAACAACAAAAAGCTGAAATAACTTTCTTTGGCTTCTACCTAGCAACAGGTGAACAATACTAGGCACAAAAGATCTGTATTAGAGAAATACCTGTTTTAAAATCTATGAGCCCTGGAGCTTGTGAAGCCTGCTTCCCTACAACTCCTATCTTGTGATTGACTCACCACAAAAAAACATGAGCTTGAGGTTAAGTTGTTTCCACGTATGGTTGAAACGTGAGAACTAGGAGATTTCTCACCATCATCTGTGTCAAAGCACTGGTGTCCCAGTATGACATGCTCCAGACTTCTTCAGTCTCTTTCCTTCCCTACCTTGATTTGGTCTTTGTTTGTTTTTTGTTTGTTGTTCCCCTCCCCCCGCCCTCCCACCCCACCCCCCGGACTTACTGGATTTGTTTAATTTTTGAAAACTGCATCTTTCTGGCAATATATCTGAAATTAGTTTGTGAACTGAAAGAGTATTGAGCAACAGGAAGACCATAGCATGAGCAGATAAGCTTTGTATCTGCAATAAACCTGCTTAAGAGAAAAAGCCTTTGACTGACAGCACAGTTCTATTCTAGACAAAACAAAGGTGGGAAAAATAGAAGTATCATGCATAGTATGTATCAGGTATCAGAAACGCTAAAAATTAACAATAGAGCAGTCCAGGAAGTTTGCTGCTACTGCATGATCTGTCTTCATCCCTGACAACCAGCTTCAACTGTATTGCACACTGAGCTGTATTTCACCTTGCTCAGCATTTGGTTGGGCAGCGGTGCAGGCAGTTGGAGGGTTGGATGTGTCAGAGAAGTATCCAGTATAAGGGGAAGATCTGGAAAGTGAGATGGTGCCAGAAGGCACACAGGTGTGTCAGGCATTGGTGTCCCCACAGCATGATATGGTCATGAATCAGGCGACCACTGACAGGAGAAGGGTTGTCAGGATTGCTGCATTTCGTGTTGGTACAGGTATGGTTTACAAAGTGGATTAGGCTGTAGGTATGTATGGAGGCCTTGCAAACCATATTGTACAGTTACAATTGCGTTGATCTCTCAGGTGATCATAGCACATGCGAGTGGTGGAAAGGGTGGCACTTACCATTTCTCTGGAACATGGGCGTTTATTGTTCCTTTGGAGTTTTGCTTATATTTTAGAGTGGTGCATGGAGAGGACAGGTGTAGCAAGTGAACATGATGTAACTGGAGATGAAATACATCAACTGCAAGTAGAGCCTCTGTTAGATGAAGGGGTAAAAATCTCTTCATGAAACAGTTCATATTTAACAGGAATATTGCTCGGATGGATGTGTGCAGATGAAGATTGTTGAGGGCAGGACCAAACACACTGACACAGCACAAGGTTCAGTTCAGTTTGATGTTCCAGGTCCTTTGGTGACGGCAAAATTTGCAACCCACAGGTAGCATCCTTGCCCTCCACCTGACGATAACACGAGTGACAAAAGCCTTTGGCACTGAGCAACAACATCTTTGCCATGTCTACAAACTGTTTTCATGCCTTAATCCTCTTCTGCAAGTAGGCACCAGCCTTACGCCCTGTTGGTGTGTGCCAGTGGCACCTGGCCATACCCCCAAACCAGCAGCCAAGGCAGTGACTGCCAGTGAACAAACTCACTCGTCTCCTCAATATCCCTTCCGCTCATTAGACACTGACTCCTGGAAACAGACTATGACAGTGTGTCTTTCTCTGTGCTCTCTATCCCTTTTCTCATTCTCAGCTATGATCTGCCTCATGAGGAAGACCAAACTTGTATCCACTCGTGCCCTTCCTACACCCCTGCTGAGGCTAACTAATAAGGAAGCCAATTAATCTGATCTGTGGCATCGCTTTTTCAATAATGTGACATTAATCTGCCATCATAAATTGTTTTTTAAAGAGAAATTTCTAATTATTTTTGTCATGTTCTGCAGACTTTCCAGATTCAGGCTATGTCTGATGTCAAAAGGGGCTCGTACCAGTGTTTTCCAGATTTTGTTCTGAGCTCTCCATAATTTTGACAAGCAATTTGGGCACATCCTTAGCACATACATTCACAAACGGTATTTTATACAGGGTGTAGGATTGCAACATTTTTCCATGAGAACTCTTGTGGAAGTAAACTCCCCACATAAGGAGTAGCAGCACAATTTGGCTCTCTGTAGGACAATTAGTATGTGCCAATGACAGACTCAAAGGATCTTATTAAAAAATTAAAATAAGCTGAGGTGGAAGATTTAATTTCTCCTTTTTAATTATTTCAGCCTTCTCACAGCCTCTTGGTAAACTTGGGGTAGAAACCCCTGCTGTTCTTGCCACATTTGCCTTCTGTTTTCAATGGCCCGTAGTTTTCAGTTTCCACAGGGGGTGCCAGCTAAGATCCGCAGTTCTCACTTTCCTGGGCTGGGGTGTGTAGGGAGGTTATGTTCGGTTCAGCTTTCTTGCAAGTCACTCATTTTTTCTCCTGTTCTTCACCCAAAAATGAGACGCTGGATCCGGGTGCCATCTAGTGGAACAAGCCCCCGCTCTTGCTGCTCACAGCAGTGATGTTCCATGGTATGAACATCAGCACACTGTCCCATCTGCTCTCCTCTGAACGGTGCTGCCTTTCAGATATATCTGCCGATAACTGCTTGCAGCTGTCTGCATTATAAATATTTTTGCAAAGCTCGTCTCATAAGCCCACGGTTGCGCTTACCGCGTTGTAATTGCCAACTAGTTGTAATTTACAGGTACTGCGATAACATCTGCAGGTCTGGATGTGGAACAGGGAGCTCTCGTGCAAGGTGCTGGGAAAAAGTGGAACATGAATGCCATATACACTTATTTCCTAGTATTATTTTTCCTAACTGGAAAATAAAAATTTAGCAATACAATGTAGGCAACAACCTACTTATGAAATCCAGCCACCAAAAACTGTTTTATTCTTTTGTGGGTTTTAATAATGTTGCTCTTACTGAGTCCGAGATGGATGATCTTAGTCATTCACATCCTTCACTGAAGTAAGACAAAACGCTTAGTTTGTTCAGTGTTTTCATGGTCACTGAAAACAGTGACCATGACTGACCAGAGTGTTCCCCTAACCCTGTTGCAGGGTTTCCCTCCCGAGTGTTAAGGTCATTTCAAACCAGTGCATGCTGCTGGACCGCTGGTTTGATCTGACACTACGGGTTCTAAGCAAGAGCTAACTTTGGGTTGATATCCAAGGGTGTACCTCTGTCTCTAATTTTTTGATGTGGCCAGCAGAAATATTACACTTTTTTACAGTCCTGTCTTGTGTTTGCATTCTGTAAAATAAAGCCTAG